TATTATTATTATTATTATTATTATTTTTTATTATTACAAAAATTACTATTACTACTATTATTATTATTATTCGGTCTTTAATATTTAAATGATCATGGCGTCAACGATTCTTCCTGATATTGTTGACCCTCTAAATCAAGTTAATGTTCATATCATAACTTTCTTATTTGATAATTCTTTTACTCATCTTGTAACTTGTTCTCACAAAGTTCTTTAAAAAAAATTTTTATTACAGGATCATCAGGAAGAATTACTCTCGTATTCTCAACCTTGTTTTTTTAATTCAGATGATAGTGACTCGAACATTGATGATGATGATGATGATGATAATGATGATATAAATGATGTTAATTATTATTCTACTGATTCAGAAGAAAGTGATATGGAAATTGATTATATGTATGCCCCATTTGGTCGTCCTCCTTCAAGGTTGGGTCGTCATTCCGATTCTATGGGTTCTAGTTCTAAAAAATCAAGAAGAAAATCTTCTACAACTTCTTTAACTAGATTAAAAGTTGATAATTCTTTCTTAAAAAATCAAAATATTAAACTTTTATTAGAACTTGAACATTCTAGATTAACTATTCAAGCTTTAAAAAATATCGTTAATCAAAAAGAATCTACTTTACAATCTTTTCGTAATGAAAATCAAAAAGCTATATTAAAAATTAGAGTATTGGAGGCTTTAATATTTAGTAAACATGCAAAGGATGGAAGTGTAATCGTTAGGAGTGGTGGCGGTGGCTGTGTAAACGAAAACGGGTTATCAACAAGTGATAAAATTGTAAATCATGATATAAATCATGATATAAATCGTCATACAAATCTTGTTGAGAATTCCGATCTACCTGCTTCATATCAAGATAAACAACAACAACTTAATAAAAAACCTAAAGAAAAATTATCTAAAAAGGAATCTTCTCAATTTATTAAAAATCCTTCCCCTCCTCCTTCTCCTCCTTCTTCTCCACCTTCTTCTTCCTCTTCTCCTCAACAATCTTCTCAATCTTCTCAATCTTCAATATTTCGTCCTCAATCCATATTATCTTCTATACGTCCTTCGC